GGATGCCACCACATTTGCTCACGTGATTTGCAAGTTTGATCCTTACCCGTGTATTGATAGTTATTTTTTTAATGTTCAATTTTATTGAGGGACTGTGAATTGTCTTGTTGTGGTCTGGGACTGTTTTTGCTATTGTATTACTGCCTTGCCCAAGTCTGAGAATTGATGTACTTAGAAATTTAACCTGGTATACTTTAGTTATTCATATTTATTTATATTCAGTGATTCTTACCTTTTCTACACTTTGCACTCGTATCGTGGTTTTTTTGGCATTGTCTGTTGTAACGTTCTAACCCGCCCCTACTGGACATCTGTGAGAACAAAAAAAAAACAGCATCACAGCTCATCGGATTCCTCCAGGATAAATAAAGATTCTGATTCTGAAAAAAAAAAGAGGACATCTTGGGAACACCAAGACAGGTGACAACCCTAGGTTCAAGACCCTTGACAAGCTTATGTTTCAAGCCAAGTGCAATCACTCGCAGGGATAAGGGAGGAGGTACGGCCCTTATGGAAACAGGGTTTTTTTTTTCGTCAACATTTTTACTTGACCCTGCTGTACGCGCAGCACGTGGGAGGAATCGCAGTGCGACGGTGAGCACATCGCACTCGCAAACAAACCCAGGGGGCACAGGTTCGATTGCTCTTTCTGCTGTGACCCAGAGGTCGACTGGTTTCCTGAGCGATGTTATTCGTCACGAACTTCATTGCGGACTTCGTTCAAGTAACATCTCACACAGGGACCCCCTACCGTCGAACCTCCCGGTGTCAACCCTCCACGCCGCCAATGGTCGACCATCAACCAAATCAGGACCGGGGGGCCATGTGGCCGACGCGGCCAACCGATGCCACAAAAAAGATTCGGCGGCCTGCGAGTGGTGCGGCCACAAATCCCAAAACCGTCGAGCGCCATCGTGAACACTCCGTCGCTGCCGCTGTCGTGTTCACTCCTTTGAAGGAGGAACGGACGAGATCCACTCCGCGACTGAACAATTGAGTGAATAATACATCTAAAATTACGTCTTTAATTTGCCGCTATTAATCCATATGAAAGATGAAGACCGCTTTGATTCCTAGCGCGGCAGGCTCGAACAACGGGGCAAAGGTTTCAGCAAAAATGTCATCCACCATCTGCCTCCACCCGGAGCGGGCACACGGTGCGGTCAAGCGTGGGCTACCGCCTCCTCTTCCAACACATCGTGATCAGGGTGGAAGATTAGACCAAACACCCTCTCAGAGCTCCCTAAAGTGCCTTTTAGCAAGCACGTGAAATATTTGGAACATTTTCTTTTTTGCATCCACGGTCTGAGGAGATCGCATTCACTCCGCCTAAATCACGTCATTGCACAGGGGTAGCTGGCAAAAAAAAAACAATCTGTAGCCCATGGCTGATAACAGCATCATGCAGAGAGGTTGACTCATTGACTATTAATATACTGTCGTTTACACACCTTCAACGGACGGTGGAATATCCATAACAGAGTTATTTGGGTTAGATCGCGTAAACATAAATGTGTCATTAAACCCACCAACACATGCGTGCATATTTATACACGCATGTGTATATTTCTACACGCGTGTATAATTCTACACGCATGCATATTTCTACACGCGTGCATATTTATACACGCGTGTGTATATTTCTACACGCGTGTATAATTCTACACGCATGCATATTTCTACACGCGTGTATATTTCTACACGCGTGCATATTTATACACGCGTGTATATTTCTACACGTGTGTATATTTCTACACATGCGTGTATATTTCTACACACGTGTATATTTCAACACGCGTGTATATTTACAGTATCTCTATTGAAAGCATGTTGTATATAATATGAATGCAGAAAAAACACAAACCGATAACAATTTAGTAAAATGCCATTTGTCACTGCAGCATTGTGATTAAAATGAATTGCCATCACAATGATGAACATCTGTTTACAGCCAGTGGTGGAAATTTACCATTCCAATAACAGGGGAGGGGGAGACTCTCTATAAAACAACCACGTGACTCGCCCACAAAGTGGTATTTATTTTATCAACTGCTGGGGGATGATGGGCTGAGTCAAACCCCCCAAATCAGGATTTGAACTCTCAACCTTTCGACTGTGAGCCGTCTCACTCTGCTGCTGGATCCACTCGGCCGGGATTATGCTGAAGGATTCCCAACTGAAAGTCCACTGCACCGTGAGCTGTACGACTGATGGCAGATTAAAGCATCGTAGGGCTTCCTTAAAAACATAATCAGGCTCAGATCCAAAACGATAGCACCCTGTTGAGACCCACTGACAGACCGTGCCCTCGTATTCTCGATGGGACACGGATTACAGTGCCGAGGAAAATTAGAAAATTTGCATTTTAATTGAACAGAAAATGAGAATGACAAAATTTAAATGTGTAAAAGACAGGATTAAGAAAAAAATAATAACGAATAAGAAATGTTGACAACACTTACACAATTCCAAGTCAATATAACATGACAGCTTAGTTGCATTCGTGCAAATTACTGACACCAAATAGTGCCAAAAGTTGAAAAACAATGCAATACTCAGCCTCAACTTAGCCCCAAGTGTGTCACTGATGTTGACCCTACCTAGCACAAAGTTGCCCTTGCGGACACAGCAATAGTTAAACATTTTCTAAGGCTGCTCGAAGATCATTGTCTTTGCTTATACAGGTTTCCCTCGCTTTATGTGGGTTTGGTTTGTGCAATTTCGCGAACTTGCGGATAATCCATTTCTACCTAAAATTCGCGATACACGGGTTGAATTCACTCGTGAGCGGCTATGCGGTCAGATGTGGGACAACACCGTGTGTACTGTGTGCGCTACTCGGCAGGCAGCTGTCTAGTGCAATGCATTGTGGGTTAGGTGACTGTGGGGGGCTATGCTACGCAATTTCACATTGTGCACCCTTTTCGTGGAATTCATCTCCTGCATAAGGCCAGAGAAACCTGCACAAAGAACCACAAGTCTCTTTTAAAGCTCATAAATTAACGTTCAAAACTATCCCCGCAGAATGTCTGCAGTCGTCTAGGACAAAGAGTTAATTCCATACATCGTAATCATGAGCCCTTGACACCGTTTGATCCACAGGGAGAGTGAGTGGGTGGGTGGAGGCAAAAGCGAGATGATTGAGAGATTTTGTACCGAGCTGGGAATTCCCCCTCAGCAGCTGTAAGCATCAAAATCAGAATATTTATTAATAATTAATGAATCCGATTAGCTATAAAGCTCTTTTCACAGATGGGAGCGGCATGAACGATGCACACAGTTGAACCGGGCAGGCGGCTCAGCCGCAGGAGTGCTTGCTCGCGAACGAACGCAAGGCTGCGAGTTCCAATCCTGATTGTGGGTTGATGAAGAACAACGTCACTCCGTGGTCGATAAATTATATACCGTCTTTCGTATCATGTTATGGGGGAGTCAAAAGTGGTTGTTCTAGCGGTAAACTCGCCCCTGCCATACGACCGTAGAATTTCCGCCACACGATCTGGGCCGTAAATGCAAGACAAGCAACTGCCCCAATGCTCATTTCAGCAGAAAATTATTTCGTTTTTTGTTCCCCCTACCTGGGGATTTTTAAGAGTCCATGATTTGGCATGTCCGCTCCTTTACGATGGACTACTCAGCACTGCTGTCAGATCCTACGGACGATGATGCTCGCAGCCAACTCGCTGCCTCGGCAATCCTATCCCTCCGCGTCTGCGCAGATTTTGGCGGTTCAAGTAACAACGGGACTGCGTCGTTTTGAAAAGCGTGCCGAGAAACATCGCTGCCGATGCAAAACATCGTGAATGTGCAGCCCTCGCGATTGCTTACTCAACGCCACTGCTGACAAAACAGCCAGCTGGAGCGAGATCCAGAGACCCTCTCTCGAGGGTAGGCGGTGAATTCTTCGATACCAGCCAGTCATCGTGGAAGTACCCACTCTTTACCCCACTGCACGCGACCTGCCGATTGACCAATTGTGGTGCAGCCGTTTAGACCGCTGGGTGGACAGATGCACATTTGTTTTGACTGCTGCGCCGGGAGATAGAACTGGTCCAGTGTGCTCACCATGATAACTTTCTTGTGCAACTAAGATCTTGTACTGTATGACCTCTGTACGGTCGCCGCAGGACACTCATAACAAAAGGGCCGAGCAGCTCATTGGGCCCTTACTGCTGAAATAAATAAAATATATATAAAAAATATATCCATCGCTGATGTACGTGTCTCTTGTTTCATGGCCTGTACAGAAGGTGGGATAAACTTATGAAGCAGACGCAAACAGTTGGAGGCCACTAATTTCTTATTATCCAAGCAATCACGTTAGACCATTCGGATCGAGGGCATGGCACATTCCAGTTTTTTTTATTCCTTCTGTCCTTCTTTCTACCTACTCCTCACTCCATCCGTTTTCAATCAATAAGTATTGTATATATCAGCCAGAATGCACAGGCGAGGAAGAATATTTTTACGCAGCGTGGTCTTAAATTGTAACGGCATCGCCTGGGTTTGCTATGTTGATGGGTCAGGGCTGTGCCCCACGTGGGAGGGGGTAATAGATACGCACAAAACTAAATTGAGACATTTATTTGAGGCGAGTATGCCCGATCGTCTGCTGATGACAGTGATAGAGGATGTCGCGTGCTTTCTCTGCTGGTTTTTTTTGTAAGTTTTGTTTCATTGTCGGAATGTTTTTTTTCTAGATCTGTATGTTAAGACCAGGCTGGAATTTGATTTTCATCTGCATAACCAGGTTTCTCCATTTATGTTTGGCAAACATGATTGGAAAATATTTTTTAAGTAAACACATTTCTCTTTATTGTTTAGTGGACGTGTATGCGGATTATATGAACCTTATGGCGGTACTCCGGGGCATCACAGTACCCCCGGCTCTCGCACAATGTCCGTGATGCAGTCATTTTTAGTCTGTTGATGGTCGGCGATGCGGAAATCGACTCGTCTCGACGAGCTGTACACGATGCACCACCGTGGTGCGTACGAGCGTTCAGGGTTTCAGCGACATCGTCCTCGCTGCGTTTCTACTGATTTAAGTTACGTACACCCCTGGAAAATATAGTGTCCCAGAAATAACATATTTAATTGCCTCGGCCATTTTGTATTATTTAGTACCCCAGGGTACCGCCATTAGGATCATATCATCGATCTCGCGGTTAAAAACACGCGAACCAAAAACATATTTATCATGTACATTCATCATTGTCATCATCGGCCTTGATCAATGCACCGCTCGATGATGGCCTCCCCCAAGCCGCAAAGCTACTGCCACGATCCTGCCACGTGACAGCGCGCGTGCGCGCAGGCCGATTTCGAAAACCGTATTTGCATCGCATTTAAACAAAAAATGAATCCTGGTTATGCAGTGTCAAGAATCATCTCTCGAAACGCCACAATCACACCGGGGCTTTAAGCACGGAGCTGGTCAGTCATTGATATGGGAGAGGAGTGGGGGGGGGGGGGCGATAAAGATCATTGCCGTGGCGCTACAACCATCAACGAACCAACACAGGCTGGGCGCTCAGGCGAAAGGGAAGAAGTGTCGGTGGTGGTGGGGGGGGGGGCGGCCACGCTCAGTACTCCTCCGTCGACGTGTGCGGGGACGAGTAGAAGCTCGACGAGCGGGAGCCCGGCACGGAGCAGGCCGCCTCCGCCGTGAGCGCCGCCATTTTGGGCGAGACGCTGTTGGGGTCCCGTGCACCGCCACCGCCGCTCGTGAGCGAGAATCGGCGGGCCGCGTTGCCGCGCCGCGCGCTCGGGCTCAGCCAGCCGTCCCTGTCGGCCGCCTGAAGCTTGAAAGGCCCTGCTCCTCCTCCTCCTCCTCCTCCGCTCACCGCTCCTACCGCGGCCGCCATCGCCGCGGCCGCGGGGCCGCCCTCCAGCTCCCCGGTCTCGGCCACCAGCGTGAGGTTGGACTCGATGCGCGACACCGTGTAGGTGCTGCCGGCGCGCGCCTGCAGGCACCGCGTCGACTTCAGCTCCAGCTCCTCGTAGCTTGACACGTCCACGAAGGGGCACCAGCGGAAGGCCCGCTTGAAGCCCACGCGGAACCTGCGGGGGCGGCGAGACGTCGCGCGGGAATTGTCAACGCTGCGATTTTAAATTGGGGGCAAAAGCCACCCCCTTCAGCCCCCCCCCCCCTTCAGCACCCCCCCCAGCCCAACCTCCGGCCCCCCCAGCCTTCCCTCAGCCTCTGCCCAGCCCCTCCAGTCCACCCGCATGGTGATTTGATTTGTTTCGCTTTGTCAGGAGGGTGGAGGGTGATAGTTAACATGATTCGACATCATACCTTCGTCGTCATCATCATCATCATCACCACGATCCATGGGCAGATAGCTGCCTAGGTGTCCACTGCACATTTCTTCATTTGTTTCCACTTTCCTCTCTGTCTTGTGCCACTATGCTCAAGCAGTGCCACATCTTTCTGACACCAGTCTCTTACGTCGTCATCAAGCCATTCTCGTTGAGGTCTTTCTCTCCTTCCAGTTCCTTTCATTTTCCCGAACAACACATTTTTACGTTCCTGTTGCTGTCCATCCTACACACGTGACCAAATAGTGGCAATTTATTTATCATCACTGCCTGCATTAGGTCATCTTCTTTGTGCAACCTTAATCTTCAATGTTGGTCATCACAACATAGACGTACCTGCACCATCTAGTTTAGTTTGTTATCCTTTAATTTGTTGTCCTTTCCCCGCACCTACGATTAGCATGGTTGGCTACGTAAGGTGCCAAAGAACTTCAGCATACATACATTGAACCCAAAAGAAACCAATTGTGAATGAACAGCCGCTGTGTTTGCCGCATGGTGCATTCAAAAATAGATAAGGGGTTAAAAGCAGCTCAAAGTTGGATCACAAGACGCCCCTAGAGATTTGAATGTGTAGTTCGTTGGACATTGTAATGCGTGGGCTGATGCTTGGGCCACATTAAACAATCCCCGTCTGTCGGAGAAATGTAGCAACTCGGATTTCGAAGGAAAAAAATCGAATTACATTTCACCCTTCAATGGGAAATCCCACCACGTGCCCTCATTCCCTTGCCACACAGCTCTTCCCCAGTCCAACGTTTATTTCGAGGCTTCTCTGTCTTATGCAGGGTACAACGTCTGATTAGCACGGTTGGCAACGTCCGGTGCAAAAGAAGTTCAACATAGAACCCGTGCGAGTCACTCATTCTAAGTGCGCTCGGGTGTCAATCGGAATCCTTCGTTACCAATCATCGACTCCGCCTCCAAAAAACTTGACAGGACCCTCCTGAAAAAAGAGTCTTGAGACTGACTGAGGCTTTCCTGGGTTAGCAAGCGTAGTATTAATAATAACAACAAAAATAACAGCGCAGAGATTGTATAGACTCCTTTGTGAGAATGAAAACTCCACTGGTGGAGAGAGGCACATGGAGACAATGCTGATGCGATAGCGAGACGAGGCTGGCAGCCAGGGCTGTTTTTATTAGTTTGGTAAAGAGCTCGCGATCGCATTTTGCCTAAAAAGTTTTAGTATTGACATTGATGGATTTCCTCAAATTGTGTAAGCATTTCTCCATTGTATACCTGGGCACTGAGCTGTTGCAATACAGAATAACAATCGCACCCTTTGTTGGCTCACTGCTGAATTAAGGCCTCCCCATAATCCTGTCCTTAATGGAGATTGCTTGACCACACAGCACTACGCTGGTTTATGTGGGATGGTGCGTGTGGACAGCATATACGGACCATTTGAAATACCAAGCATCGCTCGCCACTGATGTTAGCCGTTAGCCTTGGCGGCCGGGGATCAAAGTCAGGTCCGCCCGAGTCATTGGCACAGTGGAGGCTAACCACTGCGCCACCGCCTTTTCCATTCATGTCATGCCTTTAAGGTCCAATACATCACCCCGTTCTCTCAAACTCTGTGAGCTCAAGAGTCTGCTTGGGTTGCTGGGTGAGCATTACCCTCCGTGGGCGGCGATAACGAAGATTTCGGTCCAGCCCTGGGTCTTTCATCGTGAGGAACAATTTGGCTTTGAACCATGTGCCCGCTATTGGCCACGCCAACAAATTGACATCTGTGAAAAACAGCTTCACGGCTCATTGGATTCCTCCAGTATAAATACATATTCTGGTTCCGAACGCTGTCGAATAGATCGTCTGTGTCTCGGTATCGCCAAGGGATCGATAAACGTGACTCTTGCAAAACTCAGCATCATCGTCATCGCCATTAATTGCCTGGAATCTTAATGCAACACCCTCTTAAAAGCTGCTGCTGCTGGATAATGCTACATCAATGGGCATAATTACCAAGCTATGGTTACAGGCAGCCCAAAAAATGTATACATTTGCATATGAAACGGCAGCAAGAAGCAATTGTGCCTTCTCACATTCAACGTTTTTAAAAGTCACAGTGATTTCCTGCCCAAATGAGCGTAGAGGCGTTGTCCATCTCCCATTTCCAGCCATGAGCCAGTGGTGGAAATTCTACATTCCCATGCTGGGAGCAAACTTTGTCCACAGGACAACCACTGTTGACTTAACACTCCGATTAGCATGGTTGGGTATGCACAGCGCTAAAAAAGTTCAACATACATATATTATCGTCAGAGGGATGATTGGCTGGGTCAAAGCCCAACCAGGCTTTGAACTTGGAAACCTTGCTAGCCACCTGCAATGCCGGTATGCCAGTGGACTCGGGTCACTCTTTGCGAATGAGGCCGTCCTTGTATCTCAACTTCTCGCCCTGGCCAAGCGAAATGACTTGAAACATTCATTGCAGATCATTTGGCTGGGTGCGCTTGTAGAGAAGACGGCGTCTTAGCGAACATTGGGGCAATGAAACTTTAAGCGTCAATACCACCTTGAGGTGAATTGGGTGAACATAATATGAATAATAATGGGAATAAACATATCAATGTGCCTTAACAATAATGTATTCAATTGGTTCATATCACCTGTTACGGGACGTGGATCGGAATCGAATGAGCTGTAAAGTGTCCCAAGAAGAACAATAATAATTATCTCAGTATTTGCTCATTCTCGAAGAGCGAGAGAACGAATGAGAAGCTTGAGGAAGAACCGCAGACAAGCGGGAAGGCAGTCAGTCGGTGAGCCGATGCTACCAAGCTCTGCGGTGCGCTGTATGTTCAGATGCGAGCACACGGCACGTTAGCCAACTCCGGTAATCGGAGGTGCCAGGAAAAGGATAACAACAAACTTTACGCAAAAAGCAGTTCCGAAGGAAAATTAAAAATGAGCATTCGCATGGAGGGATACGTGCCGGAAATCACGATGGGAGGCAGGATGGGGGAAGACCGGCTCGTGAGTGCAAAGGTGGAGACGTGAAATTCACCAGTAACGAAAGCGAAGCGGGCTCTGATGGGACACATCACAAGAGGTGCCGCTGAGGTGGCATTGAACAACATCTATTGACGCTCCACTTAAAAAAAAAAACACGATCAACACTTCGACGCGTTCATCTGACGTTGCTCGCCGCGCGTTGATTTGACAACCGTGCAATGAGACATTTAAAATTCCGATTGTAAAGGTGGTGCGCTAAATCAGAGCCTCTCACGTGAGAATGTTTCTGATTGCCTTGTGGGGAGCGGTGGTGTCGAGGTTCGCATGGTGAGCTACAAGCCCGGCCATGGCCAACACCGGTGACGATTATCCGAACCGGTCATCGGCCTCCCCTAGGTCGACTCAGCCTCAAATGAGTACCTGGTGCGGTGTGTAAACATCGCCACTGGGGACACAAAGGCGGCCGGGCGTGGTGCTGGCCACCCACCCCCTCGTGTGCCGTGCCGGCCTTCATAGGTGCTCGCAAACAGCACTTGCCCCAACAGTCTGTTAAGGCTATATGGGGGAATCTTTGTTTTGTTTCTTCTGACACCGTTCTGTGGAGGCATGCTGAGCGCTCTTACATAACTTAGAGGTAAATTCTACACGTGTACCACACATTTACCAATGCAGTGGTCCCTCGGTTAAGGGTTTTAATCCGTTAAACGGAAACTACTGTGAAACCGAAATTACTGTTGATCGAATTTACTTATAATTTGAAAAGTAAGTAAAAATCACCGAGTCTGCAAGAGAGCTTTTTCCACTGCCAAAACAGGAAACGCAACATCAACTCAAGCCAGTCGAGGTGTAAACGCTCATGAATGGGCTTCGCTGGTTGGCTGAGGGCACGCCTCAGCTCCACTTACAAGCACTCTGATTGGCCGAAATTGGTGCCACTTGTACATAACTTAAACATACCGTTAATCTAATTTTTTTTAACGTTAGTCAAAAACCATGGGGTGCTATGAGAGGCGAAACGTTAACCGAAAAACCGTTAACCCAGGAACTACTGTAACAATGCAAAGGAAATGCAGGTGCCCATTCTATATACGAGAGACTGGCTCCCATCGGAGCAATGCGCAATATTCTCCAACATTCACTCCGAACCTGTCGTGATGGGTTGAGCGCGCAAACCCTCTGGCGCCTTGTTCCCACCTCGACGAGAAAGACGACACATTGGGGTTGAGTATTTCCTTTCTCCTCCCCTGTCCACCCATTGCTAGTAATAGAGACATCGGCACGTTCACGGAAAACGCCTCGCAAGTGAACGCTCGTCAAAGGTGAGGTGGCTTGGGTCGCCAGGTAACTCCTCAGAGGTCAGAGCGCTCAGCCGGCACAGCTGAGGGCCCTGGGATAGAATCCATATCTCAGCTGCGTGCGACTAAAACTGGTTTCATCAAAGCGTAGGGATTCATATTCTTGGTTCTTTCTTTGCAGTCGAAACGTCGTGAGAATTTTATTGTTTTATATTTGTATTATTTTATTGTTTCCCTTCTACGTGACTTTACCAAAAAAAACAAGAATATGAATCCCTGCAGTCACGAAAGCTTTAAATCAAAAAGCGTAGGGAGTTGATGGTTTTATCCCCCGGTCAACATTGGCTGACATTGAGGCCCGTCGAGACCCATAGACTTGCACAGAGACCCACAGACTCACACAGATACCCATTGATTCAAATAGACTGAGTTGTGGTTAAAATGCCTTCTCAAGCATAGTGACTTGGTGATCTCAGCTGGGTC